CAGCCCCGGCGGGGGTTCCCTGTCCCCCCCCGCCCCACCTCCCAGGCCTCCCCACTCACGTTGCTGGTTTTCTTGTAGTAGTCGATGTCATGGACATCAGCGATCTTCATCACGCTCTCTGCTGTGACCAGCACGTTGCGGGCAGCCAGGTCACGGTGGATGCACTGCCGGGGGGGAGCATCGCCCGCAGTGGGCGTGAGATGGCAGCTCCAGCTCTGTGCGTCCCCTCCCCACACCCAGAGCCACCACTCCCCTCCCACGCATCCCCCAGCACTGCTGGCCCCCCAGCACCTCCGCGGGGGGGGGGGCCCCCCCCCCCGGGGGGGGGGGCCCCCCCCGCCACTGGGCTGGCTGTAGTGACAGGCGCAGTGCTGGGGGGGACACCCAGGAGGTGGGTCAGGCCTTAAGCCCCACATTTTTGGGGAGATACTGCCCTGAGCTTTGCTGGATGTGGCCAGGAGGTTCTGGACAGCCTGCGGGAAGGGGCTGGGCTCCCTCTCTCCACTCAGAGAGGGGACAGTGGGGGCACACAGCTCCTCCATCACCACCTTGCCCCTCCCTGGGCTGTGCTGAGCACAGGCAGCCCGCGCTGGCTGTGCCAGCCCTACCCGTTTGGACTCCAGGTACTCCATGCCACGGGCCACCTGGTAGACACAGGAGACCAGGTCCTTGAAAGAGAGCTGCTCCTCGGGCATCGCCGTGACATCAAAAGCATAGTCGGGTGTTGGGGGGCGGCGGGCGCGGAGGTATTCGCGCAGGTTGCCCTTCGCAGCAAACTCCACGATCACGTACAGTGGCCCTGGGAAGGGCATCCACTCCGCTCAGCCCTTGCCCTGCCCTGTCTCACCCCAGCGTCCCACCTGCCACTGTCCCCAGCAGCCCCATCCCCTGCTCCCGCTCCATGCCCATGCCCTGCCTGAGGCCTGCCTGCACAGCCCCCTCACCATCCTGCGTGCAGACTCCCAGGAGGTTGATGATGTTCTTGTGCTTGTCCATGAGCTTCATCATCTCCATCTCAGATATGAGGTCAGCCAGGTCCTTGTCCGTGGCGTTGTCTGGGGAAGGAGGGCCATGTCACCGTGCCAGCTGGGGTGGCACTGCAGCCTGGCACTGATGCCACCTCTGTGCCTGGGACACTGGCAGGGGAACCATTACCTTTCAGCATTTTCACAGCCACGGTGACAGCTCTGTCTGGCCGGTCTCTGTCGATGCCATAAGCCTCTGCCCGCACCACCTGGCCAAAGCAGCCTTCCCCCAGGGGCTTGCCCAGCACCAGCCTGGCAGGGATGGGCAGAACCGTGAGGGACCGCAGGGATGGTCCCACTCCCCACCACTGCACGGCCGGACCCTGAGGGGCAGAGGCGATGTGGCTGCCCCTCTCTGGTCTGAGCCGAGTCCCAGCACCTCGGGGTACGGCAGTGCTGAGGTGTCTGGTGATGGCTGGAGTCCTCCCCATCCGTCACCCATGTGCTGCTGTCCCTGGGGTGGATGGGGAGAGCAGCTCCCAGACCCAGACCTGCCCCACACCGCCCGGCACCGTACTTGTCTCGGGGGAACTCCCACTTGGCATCGAGGGGCAAGTCCAGCTCCATGACCCCAGCCAGCATTGGGGCACAGCTGGAGGAGAGACGAGTGACGCGCATCAGGGACGTGCTGGACTTCCCGGAGGAGCTGGAGTCCAGGGAGAACTGCAGAGAGAGCCCAAGTGACCTCAGCCATCCCGCCCCGTGCTCTGGGGTCAGAGACCCAACGGTGCCGCGGAGAGACCCTCACTCGGAGCAATGGGGCAAGGGAGCTGCAGGAGGCAGTGGGGAGGGCAGTCCCAAGGCTGGCAGCACGGTAAGGTGTGATGGGCGCAGGTGGCACTTGTGGAGCCAGTCAGTGGCCTAGGTCCCCCCATGCTCCCAGGGCTCCAGCCTGGCACCCACCTGTCGGATGAGTGGGAATTTGGAGAGCTTGTGGACTGCCATGGGCTCCAGGGGCTGCTTGCTTGACTGAGTCTGCATCCGGCACAGCACCACGATGATGGCGGCCATGGCCACAGCCAACGAGCCCGAGGTGGAGGTGGTGA